TTTTTTTTTTTGTTATTTGTATAAGTATTATTTCTTGTCTTCATATCTTGACAGATTTACTTGTTTGTATCTTAATAGATATCTTCTCAGAATCTAAGATTGCAGTATTTAAATCTAACATCAACATTCCATGCGAATGCCTGGAATAATATGAAAAATCAAAATTAGATGAAAGAATCTCGTTTGAGTTACGTATAGCGTCCAAATACTTACGAATTATTGTTTCAGGAATCGATATTGATAATATCGTTTCTGTTTTAAGGTTTTCCAAAGACATCGGTATCATCGACAAGAAACTGCCTTTTACCATGTTCGATGTTATCGTAATGTTCTTAAGCTTCACGGGAACGATAGTGATTCTTACCACGGTGAATGCGTGGCTGTTGATACCAACAAGCTTCGTCATCGTCCTTTTCTACTACATTAGAGTCGTGTACATAACAACTAGTCGCGCTGTCAAACGAATGGAGGGTACAAGTAAGTAATTGCACGCGATTGCAAAGATCGATCAACTTCGCGAACTTCTTCGTAAGTTCAATCTGTTTTCCAATATTTGTCTCGGCGACAATTCGGCAATTAACAGGAATAATTTTTCAGCCCGTTCACCGGTGTTCGACCACGTGGGCGCAACGCTGCAAGGTCTAGCGACAATCAGAGCGTTCAAAGCCGAGAAGATAGTAACGGAGGACTTCGACAACCGTCAGGATCTTCACACATCAACGTGGTTCATATTCGTTTCTCTTTCACGAGCTTTCGGCCTCTACATCGAGATATTCTGCTTGGTCTACGTGGCGGTGATTGTGATCATGTTTTTGGTGTTCGACGATCTCGCCATCGCCGGAGACATTGGCCTGGTGATCACGCAGGTGACCGGGGTCATTGGAATTTTGCAATGGGGCATGAGGCAGACCGGTGAACTGGAGAATCAAATGACGTCTATCGAAAGGGTGCTGGAGTACAGTAACTTGGAGGAAGAACCGTTTCTGGACAGTATACCGGAGAAGAAACCGCCGGAAGAATGGCCCACGAAAGGTCTCGTCGAGTTCAAAAACGTTCGATTGAAGTACGGGCCTAAGAGTGCTTACGCTTTGAACGGCATCACTTTCGCGATAATGCCCAAGGAGAAAGTGGGAGTTGTCGGGAGGACCGGTGCTGGCAAAACGTCTCTAATTAGCGCCCTCTTCCGGCTGGCATACATAGAAGGGGAAATTATCATCGATGGTATAGCCACTGACAAAATTGCGTTGCACGACTTCCGTTCGAAGATCAGTATTATACCTCAGGAACCAGTTTTGTTCGGTGGCAGCCTCCGACGCAACCTGGATCCTTTCGAGGAATATTCCGACAGTGTTTTATGGACAGCGTTGCAGGAATTAGAGTTGAAAGAAACGATCGCAGAAATGGCGGCCGGCTTGAACAGCAAAGTGTCGGAGGAAGGGTCGAATTTTAGCGTCGGCCAACGTCAATTGTTGTGCCTTGTTCGAGCGCTCGTCAGAAATAACAAGATCATGGTGCTCGACGAGGCCACTGCTAACGTTGATCCGCAAACCGATTCGCTGATTCAACAGACCGTCAGGAAGAAATTTATGGATTGCACTGTAATCACCATAGCGCATAGGTTAAATACCATAATGGACAGTGATAAGATACTTGTGATGGACCAGGGTTGCCTAGTAGTAATTATACGTTGGATTATTTAGAAATTTAGAACGAAGCGACTGCTGCAACAAAGAGGCAGTTCCATTTTTTACCCCTCCCTCCCTCAAAAAAAAAAAAGAGAAACGTGACGTTTCACTTGGAGTTGGCTCCAAGTCAAGGTTCATCAACACGAATTTTAATTATGAATTTATAACATATGTGAAAGAGTTTCTAATTTTCAATTGCTTTTCGATTGGTTTATTAGAACTACGCGACAGTGAATTTGCTGCCTCGTTCTTGCTGCAAACTTTGCAACTGATTACCACTATTACGTTTAAGAAAATTTACGTAGATTATCTAGTTAGTTAGATTTACTTCACACTGTTATTAATTAATTCTTTTTAGGAATACGATCATCCGTACGTGTTATTGCAAAAGAAAGGACATTTTTACAGTATGGTGCAACAAACGGGGGCTGCGATGGCGAATACTCTGTCAGAAGTGGCAAAGGACGTAAGTGACGATGCAGAAAACTGGAGTGAAAAAGGGGAATTTAACACTGTATTTAACATGTATATATTCGTGTTTCAGTGCTTCTATAAGAACAACGAAGCGTCGTCTTGATAATGGCCGAAATTTAGAAACGTCCTAGTTGTACGCTGTTCCAAAGAAAGTCTTTTTCTACGTCTAATTTATATTTTACTATTCCAAACTGAACTTCTAACTTTCTCTGCCAAGTGCGCTGGTGTGTTCGACGATACAAATTCTGAAAGTACGGTGCTTACAGAGATTATTACGTACCTATTATTTAGTCTATGAAGTAATGACGATCTTTTGTATCGAAAGTATAATTTCAATAAAATTTCACAAGAATATCTCTTCGTTATTTTAATAACATTATTTAAACAATGGTGATTCTTCGTTAAAAGTATGTGTATAATATACGTACTTAAGTTTAAAGAATTTCAAGTAGCATCAAAAATCGAAAAAAAAAAAGAAGTGTTTCCCTTCGTAGTAAGCCCTGTTTAGTTGGACAAATTTTCTCACTTCCTTTCTCCTCTGGGGGGATTGGGATTAGAGAATTTTCGTCTCGACGCATTACTTTTCTTTGACCAATACACTTCCCGTCCTAACTCGAAAAGATCTGCCGAAGCTTCCTGTCTCAAAAATTCGAAGAAAGATGACGAGAGGCTAATAGCGTAAACAATGCTACGACACTTTCTGCCCAATGTCCAGGGACTTTCCTCAGAGCATGAGAGTCACTGAGAACTCCGATCGTGGCTCCGCAACGTTACTCGAAGGAACTCTTCACTGTAGGTGGGTTTAGTGGTGGTATATATAGTGACTACTTGCGAAAACGAGTACTAGCGAGAAAGAGAAAGTGGCGCTCAACTCGACAGAGGCGACACTTTAAATCTATAATTTTTTTTTTTTTTTTTTTATTAATCCCACTATCGTTACACTTGAAAAATATAAAATTAAATTGAAATTATCTGATAACATGTTTTTCCTTTTATTTTCGAACATTAATATCCACATCAAAATCGAAAGTTTCGTTAAAGTAAAAATTTCAATACATCGAATACGTTACAGACAATGAACATTGCATCTCCTCTTGGTATTGCGAAATTTGTACCATGGTGTTCAAGTTCCGAATGTACATTTTACACAGAATCACACAGTAACATAGTAACATACAAAATTGGTGTATGAGGGGACACACGAACGCGTCGTGATGTCGAGTAAGAATACAAAAAAGGACTACCGTTTGCGTGTCAGCACCATTTGAATATACGTATCGATAAAATATCACTCGATTAGTACCAAAAAACGATTGTGTGTTTGTAAAACAAGTGAAAAGTACACACGTTGCGAACAAACGTTCGTTCACGCGTGATAAAATTCATTTGTATAAAAATATTT